ACTAAGAGTAACCTCTGGCCCCAAATCAATTCAAAGACAAAAGAGTCCCTAATAATAAATAAAAAGCAGCTGATTGCCCAAAGAGCTAGCAATCAGAATTGAAGTACAGTTTTATAAGTGATCATAATCTCTCCCTATGTGGATTGTCAGCTTTCCTTGCAGCAGCTTCCCTTTTATAGTGAGGGGGCTGGCGTATTCTATTTGGAAACAACAAAGCCCTGCATAGCGAAAACAAGCCCTTTAAACTCCAGTACCAGACAGTGGTTTGTATAAAGCGGATTTTTATAAAACTTTCCTATCATTCCAATTATCCTATGTATATCACTGGCTGCACCCTGAGTACCCCTTTGCCTCCACAGTTCTGTGAACAAATATGTATGGCTCTCAAGCTAAACTTATAGACTATGTTGTACTCCTCTTAAGAAATGAAATAATTATCTGGATGTCTCTGTGCCAGCTGAACATAATTTCACATAAAGGAAAGTTGGTTCTCTTACCCCTTTGGAACAATTCAAGACAACAGGAGCAAAATGGTCATCCTGACTCCAACTGGCAGTCCAGCAAAGGTATCATTGACCTTTCCCATCCATACAATGTTTTTCTTTCCTTTGACCAAATCAAAACTAACTACAGTTTTCAACAAACAATTTTTAAAATATTTTTCTTTACACATGCAATTTCTGTACAATTCTAAACTCTTAACATTATTAACGTTATTTTTAACTCGATAGAAATATCCTTGATGATGACAATATATCCAAACAAACCTCTACTACTGACGTGTGCATGCCAAATGGCCCCGGTATATTTCATCACTAGAGGTCTCCTGGGGTGATCTTAAAACAGTCTAGTTTATGGAAGGTTTAAGCACTTTGGCCAAGCTAATTTCATTCAAATGTATTAACTGTATTATACTCTTTAAAAATTACGACACATGGGTCTACTCTCCAATCCTGCTTGTCAACGCTGTACTGCATCATCAGCTACCGTTTCTCACTGCTTTTGGGCTGGTTTACATGTCCTCTTATATTGGTTATGAACTTATGGTGTGTAAACTTGACTTTCCGTGTTCCAACACTTCAGAGGTATGTCTGCTAGGAATGATTGACCCCTATGTACTCTCTACTTGTAACAGAACAATGTTTTGCTTGATTCTTTTCTATGCCAGGAAAGTTATCCATATACACTTTCCATATACACTGGAAAAACTCCACTTCTCCAGACATCCTTCAAGCATTTGGAACTATCAATGATCTACTACCAAAGTTCAAAATTATATAAAAACAGCTTAGCCTATCCCCCAAAAAAGTGATATACACTTTTTGGCAACCATAGATCAATATGATCCAAGACCCAACCTGGTCCTTCACTCTAAGTGATGGATCCTGTCTAATGAATCCAGTAGGGCAATTATGGGGAAACAATGTATTGATGAACTCTTAATCACACTGTAAAATAATTAACAGTACTGCACCCCCCTGACACCCTATTTTATTTTGCTCAGTGAATGAGGAGAGCCAAGAGTAAGTGAGTGTGAATTAATGTGTGTATGCCTTTGTGACTGTTTGCAATGTTTCATTGTCCTACTATCTATGAATGAGCCATGAAAGAAGCAAACTGTGTCAAACTGGAACAACCATCCCTAACAAGCACCATCTGTCACCTGCTTATAATGCGTTTATTATATCTAACTAGAAATGTGACAACAATACACACCTTCAGCCATATATTGTGAACAATTTACATTGCATTATGTATTTAGAACAGGGTGGTTTTAAAAATTCACACCTCCCATCATTATCTTGCATATTCAAAATCTGCCTTGATGCAGTCCATGATGATTGAAATAAGGTGACTGAGTTACCTACATGGCAAGAAATTCTGAGGTATGGTCCTGACACTGATTAGAACTAAATATGCTGTTTAACTTGCAAAACATCTTCAGAAAACAAGTCCAGTTAAATGCCACTGTTGCTAGCAAAGGTTAAAGTTGCTTTCATTTACTGTTTTTCTTCTTTCATTGTTTTCTATATTCTCACAGATTCCTATTTTTTAAATAAGCGGTTTCAAGCATTATCTGCTCTGCTGACAAACAGAGGAGGTGGGTGTAATAATGAGGGGTGTTACACCATGGCATACCCTTTCATCAGCCATTCAGGATACTGTAACAAGGATCAATACACTTATCTGGACCCAACATCAGCAGTGTGAATGTGTGGTTATTATACAGCCAAACATCACAGATCATATATACTTGTCAAAGGTCCTTGAGTGGTTATTACCAAAAATACAAGTTTCAATGATGGACAGACATTTGTAACATTTAGTGTAATTTTACATTGCAAAATGGTCAGAATATTACTGGATTCAATAGCAATTAGCAAAAAGCAATGAGTGAACCATTTACAAATTAGTCAGCATGCTGTTTTAAAGAAATCAGTGTAGATTTGTCCAGCCTGCAGAGAATCCTACTCAGTGATCAATATTGGCTTTGCATGGGCTGCATTTTTGGTTGGCTCACTAATTCTGATTAAACATATTTAAAATGCAATGAAGTTGTAATCTGTATTCTGAGAAATCTGTAGTTAAATTGTTTAATCCATTTTTAATACATTCCTGAAGATGTAAAGTTTTGCTCAGATTTTTAAAAGCTAGAGTTCAGTGTTCTTTTGTATGCTAAAGGGGTTTGTGCTTTGCCACAGTAGATAACCCGTTTGTCCATGCGGAAGGTCTGAAGCAGTGGTTTAGCATCCCAGAGAGAGGTAACATCTACCTGGGCTATAGCACTGCTGTATCAGGACCAGTCCAGACAGGCATCCTTCTCATTGCACCAATGCAAATATCATGGCATAATGTGTATATAGCAATCCTCATGCTACCAAATGTGTTACATTATGTGTATATAGGCAAATGTTATGGGTTTTTGGGTATTTAATGGTTTAGGCTTCATGGCCTACAGAGGTCAATGATCTCTATGGAGAATTATGCATCTTTGTATTACATTAGGTGAGAACAGAGAAGCATCTCCAAGGAACCTATAGCTTTGGAAAATTCACAAAACACTGTGGAACATCTATAAAATGAACAAGATGTGATTATATAATAATTTACAGCCACCACAAAACTTCTTTGTAGCCATTTCTGGCATACGCTTTTATATATGGATGAAACTCTGCAATACATATTTGGTTATGTGTGACATTCACATATGGCAATATTTTCTTTCTTCTTAAAATAAAAGACTCTACAATTCAACATGCAAGTTTCCAGTCCACATAAGTAGTAAAAATGTAAAAAAATTAATTGTTGCTTTGCTCTTAGCTTTAGGCTAGGTTCACACCTATTTCCGAGCGATATCGCACAAAACAGAGATTTACATTCAAGTCTATGGAAGCTGTGCACACCTTTGCGATTTGTCGCGCGGAAGAAATCGTCTGTTCCGCAAAACGGTGTAGGAGCTATTTTCGGGCGGTTGTCCCGCTGTTTGGGTCCTATAGACATTTCTATGCATTGACAACCGCGTGGTTTTTCAAAGCAAAACCTCACAAACGAAAACAGCTCACTAGCTCAATCATCTAGGTGTGAACCTAGCCTTATACAACCACCAGGCAAAACATTTGTTAACAACTGCACTACTTGGCCCTTGTGGTGGACAGGGCTGTATTTACAATTTAAAGCATAGTTTTATTAAACTAGGTCCTATGAGCTAAGCAAGCAAATTAACTTATTCACATGTTGTCTAGCTCTATGGTCTTTCCTTGCAGCAGCTTTGTGACATCACCCCATACTTATATTTTCTACATAATGACTGCCATTTAATAAATCTGCACAGTTAATTCCATTGACATTCATTGTACTTCTCATATACGGTATATCAGCATCTATAATCCAATTGGAGCCAAACTACAAAATATGATGGCTGCTACATGTTAAATATGGATTATTGTGTTATAAACCTGCATGTGTTCCCTTAGATTGGCAGGCAGGTCATGATTTCATAAAAAAGCAACTTGATCCTTCTAAAACAAAAAAAGGAGAAAACAAAAAAAAGAAGGTTTAAGGAAAACAAGAAATACAAAAACAAGAAATAATCCAATAATAAAGGGATACAGTGAAAAGCAAGTACAATGCAGTTTTTAAAGTCTAAAAACATTGGTATAAATGGCAGTGTACAATTAATCATAGAAAAAAAGTAACATTCAGGATTATTTAATAGGGCAATATAAAGCTCATTAGTAACATCAGGGGCGTAAAAACAATAGCCATAGCAGCCCATGCGGCTGCTATGGGCCTGGGGGTTGAAGGGGGCCCCATGAAGGATTGCTGACGTTGCTGTTGACCCTGTACCCCTTATGGCATTTCCAATCAAGAAGAGTTGATATCAGATGTACAGGAAGATACTATGCAGACAGCTCTCCTTCTACTTGTCCTTGATTTAGATTTTAAGGGTTTGCCATGGGGCCCCAATTAAAATTTTGCTATGGGGCCCCGTGATCTGTAGTTACACCCCTGAGTATACACACGCAAAACAACCAAATTAATTTCACTGTACTTAGTTTAGTATTGGTAGTTTACGGTTGGTTGTCATACGTTACTGTACTTGACTTTGTCCTGATAAATAACGCTGATTGTGTCCTTTATATGGAACCAAATATACAACTGCATTTTGCATGTGGTAGAATCTCTATATCCATGGCCTAAGAAAATACGTATATGCAATTCTGGGCACTTTATCTGGCTATTGGGCTGTCACCTGCCAACAGCAAGAAAGACATGTGGTCTGTAAATCTAATATGATGACACACTGCTATTTATGTTCAATGTGACATCATTTTGTCAAACTGTAGACTGAGAATAATGTTATTTATTAAATAAAAATGGTAATCCTTTAACCGCTCTATCAAACAGTAATACATCTAAGCCAAATTTTACAGAGCTCCTAAAAAGCAGGTTACATATTTCAATCACTAGTTTTTGTAACATAGGATACGACAGTCATGTTTTCTAAGAAATATTTTATTTGGCCCAGCATCTATGCACAATTAAAGGAAATCTACAACAATCTAGTGTTTCTTTTCCACAACATCAAAGAATGTACTCCATTGTAATTACAAGACTGAGGCAAAAACACGTTTCCCTTGTGGTCCCAGCACTTTTTTCATTGTAAACATTTATTTCTGGAAACACACAGTAAGAGAAAATAAAATAATACAATAAGAATTGGGCATGTTAAGATTACTGTGAACTGTATTCGTGTGGAAGGAAGGTTGCCACGACAAGTACATATTATTCCTGCATTCATTATAAAGGACTCTAAGACTCTGGTAAAAAGAAATACAACAGTCGAAGAAGGAACACATATTAACATAAAAAAGGAATAAAGAAAATATAGAAATGACCATGGAATGTAATGGGTTTTAAGCCACTGCGCTTGTACCAGTGATCTGGAGGAAGCAGCATTTAAAAGCAGTGGTACAAATTGAATTGTGGTTAATGTCAGACATCTTAGTGGGGCAGCGGGACTAGGATATCAACATAGTTGATGGGGAAGAAGCCCGACTGGCCATGAAGCATCCCCTCATACCAATTTTCGTCAATTTGATTGGTGAGAGTAATGATGTCGCCCTCTTTGAAGCCCAGTTCACCTTCATTTTCTGGTTCAAAGTCATAGAGGGACCGACAACATGGCTGATCCAAGGCAGCACCTGCACCAGACAAAACAAATCAGATGTTATTAGTACCATTACAAATATAATGAAAATAATGGAAGGGGGTTACAGGTTACTAATGTTTTATTAACATGATAACATCAGGATGCAAACTGTGCAATTTCTGCAAACTCCACAACTCAACTAAACTCCACAAGCCAATTGCACCAATGAGGCTACCTATGTGCAATTCACCTTTGTCTGAAAGTCCTCGGAGTTTGTTAGAGGGCATATCTTAACAGACAGCATCATGAAGATCGAGAAGCTATCAAACCAGGTCTGAAATACAGTTCTGGCATAGCACCTAGCTTGTGTTACAAAAATTTTTTTTAAACATCTGCAGGGCCCCATTCAATTCTTTCATCAAAGCTCAGTAACTGGATAACAAGGATGCTTATCGGAGATGCAGTCACACAATAGATGGCACCTGGGCAAGAAGAGCAGAAGTCCACAGCTGAGATGGAGGCTTTACAAAGCTGGGCTTTATGGAAAAGTGATAAGATCAAGTTCCTATCAATAAAAACCATATTCAAATTAGGAATGCCAAAAGGCATGTTTGAGACAGAGCAAGCATGTGGAAAAAAGGTTCTCTGGTCTGATGAGACCAAAACTGAACTTCCTGACCTTCTGCAAAATGGTATTCTAAGGCAGAAAGCCAACACTGTTCACCACCTTGAGAAATCAATCTAACTGGCTGCTATGAGTAACTTTTACAGTTCTGTTTTTATTTTCCTTTCTCTGGTGGTAATAATGTAGATCCCCAATATGTGTACCTACCAGATGGTTTTGGAGTAGTAGCAAGAGAGATTCCCCCATTATGTTGAGTTATTTCAGTGGGCAATGCAAGGTCGAAACTCAATCGAGGTTTAGGTTGATATTCTCGCCTTGGTCGGTTTGAAGCATCTCTGATTCTGCAAAATGTAAACAAGGTAGGGTATTAAAAGTATTTTAATCAATTACTAATTATTTTAAAACAAAAAAATGTATTTTGATTTATTTTTTATTTTGACGGTGAAGAAGGTGAGATTACTGAAGAGACATTTACAATCAAGATCAAGCAGTGATAGGAGTTAATTGTAAATACAAAATGAATTAAAGTTGCTTTTTTTTTTTACAGTCCATGTACAATAATTGTTTTATAAATAAAAATTAAGGGCTCATGCACACAGGCAGGTTCATCCCATACAATGTAATTTCTGACGTTCTAGTGTTCTAATTCTCCCTTGAGGGTGGAAGTTGGTGACAGACTTTTTGTTATGTGAAGAAATAAAAGTAGGCAACAAGCCTTTACACACACTTAGGCTAACAAAACAAATATCAAATATAATTTAAAAAATACACAGTATAAACTTGTAACAAAAACACAAATGCAATTAATTTAATCCTAAACCATTATAGTTTACCTCTAAATCAGACATGTGCGATTCGTTTCATTACGACTTGACATCCGTACAAATTTCTGCAAATTCGGACCTTCGGATGCATCTGAATTTCCAAATCACAGAAATAACGAATCCGAATGTTAGATATTAACGAAATTCGGATACATACGAATGTCACTCGGAACAAAACAAAGAAGCGCTGTGTATGTGTAATTTACAGTTCTCCGGGCTTCTCTGCGTTTGCTGACATTGTGGACGTATTACTGAATGTTAACAAAAGTATCAGAATTATATTATAGAACAAAAACAAAGAAAGGAGCTAAGATCTGTGTTATACTGTAACAGTTCTCAGCTTCTTTGCTACATTCAGACTGTATCCCTAATGTAAACAAAGAAGCTGACAGCTGTCACAGAATGCAGAAAAGTGTTTAACTATTAAAATAAACAATAACTACAAAAAAAAAAAAAGTGTTTCCCTCCCCTATCCACACCCTTTAGGTCTGGTAGGAATGTTAGGGGGACCCCAATGTACAAAAAATCCAAAAAAACTGTGTGCGGTTCCTCTGACAATTACGGGTCTGGTAGGCATTTTAAGGGGGACCCCCAATGCCAAAAAACAAAAACTTGGGGTCCCCCTATAGTTCCTTAACAGATCCTCAATCGGGGCAGCATTCTGCTATTGCAATTTAAAATGGCCAATAGCAGAATAACTGCCTCCTGTCAATCAGCAGAGGAGAGGACCTGAGAGCAAGAAAGTTCTCTCAGGTCTGCTCCTCTGTGATTGACATCAAGCAGAGGGTGGAGCATTAGCCAGCCTGCTATTGGCTATTTCAATTTGAAATAACCATAGCAGGTGTTGTTTATTTCTACACACCGCCTGATGTAAATGTTGCATCGAGCAGAGTGGCAATTGTTTCTTTTGTTTTTATCTGGTGTTTTTTTTAGTTTTTCTTTAGTCGGCGGCTTGGGATTACATCGCTGGATGACCTGATTGTCGCTGGATTGACATTGTTGGACATTTTTATTTTAAATAAAGGAAGTGTCAGAAACTTGTGTTTGTGTTTTTGGTTCAAATAAGGATTTTTTTTCTTTACCCTTTAGTGCATAGGTAGGGGTACAAGTACCCCTTACTCATTCACAAGGGGGAGGGGCAGCATCGCAGATGTGCCCCCCCCCTTGCCTGCAGGGTTGAGGGGGAAGAGGCCGTTGTCCCCATCGGCATGGGAATAAGGTGCTTTTCCAGGAGGGGACCGAGGGCATGTGGCCTGGTATGGTGCAGGGCTCGCTCGACCCCCCCCCTTTCCTGCCCTGCCAGGCTGCTGCTTGGATAAAGGCTCTGTTAAGGGATTTTAGCGGGGACCCCACGTTTTAATTTTTTTGGAGTGGGGTCCCCCTTAAAATTCCTACCAGACCTAAAGGGTTAAGTATTACTTGTTGGGGGGAACCATAGGCTGTTTGTTTTTACATAGGGGTCCCCCCTAAAGGGTCTGGGATGAATAGGGGAATGGAACCTCACATTGTTTTGTTTTTATTTTGATTGACACTGGATTACATCGATGGAGCAAATTTTTTTTTAATTCAAGGACTAGTCAAAGATATTCTGTTTTTTTTTTCAATTTAAGGATTTTATTAAAAGTCTGGACTTTTGAATAACAATTTTATTAGTGAATGGGCAGGGGTACAAGTACCCCTACTCATTCACAAGGGGGGGCAGCATCTGGGTGCCCCTTAATTAAAGGGGTACCCCGATGCAAATAAGCCCCCTTGCCAGCAGACCCCCAATGTCACTTTTTTCCCAATGTCACATTGCTTCAACGAACGAACGGTGCACATGTCTATTCAGCAACCTTTCAAAATCATTCTGAACCTTGACAGACTCAGCAACAATGGATTTACATTTTACCAATAATGAACTGTTGCATTTCCAGTTTCAAATATTTGTTATTGGACAATTCCACAGAATTCACTAACATACTGTACAGTGTTGGCGTTCTATTGAACTATTAATTAACACGATTCAGACTATCTGAGCTTCTGCGCTGTTTTATTGAGCTAACATATGAGATAAGCTACAAAGAAAAAATACATTGAGGGGAATTTATCAAGACAGAATCTGGAGCAGTAGCTTACAGTAACCAATGAGCTTTTCTCTTTCATTTTCAAAGCTTAACTGAACAAACTGAAGAGAGAAGCTATGGGCAACTGTTCCAGAATTTGCCTGCTCCAGTTTTCAAAAATTCCCAATGTTTCAACATTGTCAAGGATGGTAAAACTAACTTTGAGCAGGATAATTTAAAATAGTATTAGCAAGGTAATCAAATATTTAAAAACATCACACAATTCTTTTGTTTTTCATATGTCCCTCAATGCATTTCTTTCAGACGCCTTCCTGTTCCCATTTTCTCCATAAGGTTGCATAGCCTCCTAATTTTAGTGCTCAGGACCATAAGGAAGTGTGATTATGTCACACTTCCTTCTGGGGGTGGGTACAATTGGCACAGCACACACCTACCTATATTGATTGGCAGCTATGCAAACAGCTGCGCTCATCTTTACAGCGCTGTCCCTCATAGCCACGCCCACATGCATGCCCAAATCATCAGTGGATGAACTTGAGGGAAATGTTGTACATAGTTCCTCAGGCAAACATGTGGGATTTGACATGCACTGCCAGATTTGATTCTCCCACTGTCAACTGGGCACTGTAAAGATGTAGCAGCGATTGAGGACGTCACAGGAATCAAAATATGCCAGCAGCTGAAAAAGTAAGACATTTATGAAGAAATAACATAAGCAATTATTTTTGTGCTTAGGCAGAGGGTGCTGTGGTTTGAATGTTGTCATGATCTTGGAGTTCATCTTTAAAACTGACTTGTGTTCCATCAGTGCTGGCAAGCACAAAAAGCTAGATAAAAACCATCTATTGGAAACTGATATTAGAATCCTGTTTTACTTGTATCTTTGCTGCTAATGCAGTTATGGGAGAACAGCTGTCTTTCCCCCCTACGCACACACTCCCACACACATATGCACTGTAGACTCTCAGAGAAAGATGGCTCAAAGTCAAAATAGTATGATGTTGCTAAAACGAGGAATAAATGAACAACAGGACACAGTAAAGACATGCTTATAAAAAAAATTGATTTTAAAAAAATAGATTTTTGTACTTGCTGTAAAATCTTTTTTTTTTTTAGTCCATTAAGCAACATGGGATTGGTAGAATCTGAATTAACTGTATTATCCTGCGGCTTTTAGGAAGACTGGACACTAGCAAAACAAAAAATTTAAGGCTAGCACACTGTATAACTCCGCTTCCAACTTTGCATGCCTCAGTTAATGTGCAATGCCAAAAGTAGAGGGTGTGAGACCTGTGTCCCTGATAGGACTCCAAGAAAAGGGTTTTATGCTAAGTACAACATCATTATTTTCTGTATAATCCATCGAGGGACACAATCAATAGAATAAAAACAAACTGGGGCGTCCATAAGAAACCTAACTGAGGAATGGGTAACTGGGAGATGCAATAATGTGGAAGCAAGAGCCACAGAGAAAAAAAAAAGAGAAAACACCAAAGAAAGGTAAAATGAAACATAAATGTAGAATAGAACAAACCACATGAAAACAGGTGAACTGAACCAAGTATCTACATGAATGAAGGAAAATATACATAAAAATCCAACAGTAAAGGAAAAGGTGTAAGCCTGATAAACCTTGCCCTTGGTTTAAGGGAGGGAAACTCTGATAACTGCACATGTCGAGGCAAAATATAATAAAGAACTGATAAGCTTGGTAGGTAATGTCCAATGCATACAAATATTTCAAAGGAGAATTTGTGGAGCAAAACAAAAACTCCTAGGGGTACATGGAAGGGGTTTTATATAGAAAGAAATAGGAAAAAAGGGTAACATGGATTAGTTCCCATTTCTATCAGACATTTTGGTTATATGTGGATCCAGGTTTTACTGAGATTTTGGGATCACTAGAGTTTAAAAAAAAACAAAATCAAGAGACAGAAGGTCCCAGTTAGTTAGGTAAACGGCCAGGGAAGAAGGTGCAAGCAGCAAGATGCTTGAAAATAATACCAAGAGCAGAAGTCACAGGGAGAACCTGGGGGTGCAAACTGATGGAAGAAAAAGGGGTTGTAAAAAGAAAAAAAAAAGGACACCTGCTTTTATAAAGTAAATGCATTAGATGCTCTTTGAATGTATCTTCAACGTTCCATGAATGTAGCCAAAGTGCTCTAGGCATAGTGACACTCCAACCTGGTGCCTATTGAGCAGAAGTGGAGGGAATAATGCAATTGTTTAACAAGCTGTAAAATGCTAGAGTCCTGAATAATTAGGAAAGGTTGCTCTTAAGGCTTTGATCAAGTCCAACATGGTTTCAAAGACTAGGGTTGCCACCAGAATAGGGAGGAGAGGAGTACCAGTTAGTTCAAACTAGGCTGTAAGGAAGAATTTTAATGGAGCATCAATAAAGGCCTCAAAGATAAAGACATAATTCAAGGTAGCAATATGATGTCCATTTAATTAAAGGACTGGAAGGTTTGCAGAGGTTAAGGACCTACATCTGCATAAAAGTCTATAGCCATAGGAAAAAAAAAAAAACTTTGACATGATCTATTATAGGCTATGAGTAAGGAGAGAGTTTCCAGTCTTCCATTAGGAAGTTTTACCATTCACCATTTAGCCTAATGACGAGTTAAAAGTACATGGTCAGACACAAAGAGGAATCACTGTTCTAAATCAGGATAAGAAGCAGTAGTGTACAGGTAGTAGGCCGTATCCAGTAAAGAAATTCACATATAAAAATGTGTTAGTCACATACCTCTAGTGATAGAGTCGGTGTTCAGAGATAGCAGCAGTTGTGTTTCAATATTTGGAAATAGCATTCTGCCAGAAACAGGCTCAGTGCCATGGCAGAGCTACATGTCATCCAGGGAACAGAATAATTTTTCCATATAGAGGGAAATAGAGGCTAGGTATACTGGAGGTAGTACTTCTGCCCCAAAATGATATGAGCACTCTTAGCTAATAGAATTAGACTCTTGGTATTGGGGAAACCACATGATATAGAGTTGGACATGTGAAGGAAACGCACAAGGATGTCTTTGCAATTTTCTGTGGTACATTACACAGGAAAATATTAGAGACTGGGTATACTGGTGGTGGCACCTCTGCTCCAAATAATGAGTGCGCTGTTGGCTAATAAACTCAGGCAGAGGTCTGCAAAGGTAGAGTGCAGCGTGTGAAGGTAACATGCAAGTGTGTATTTCCTGAGCAAAATGTCACAGGAAAATCAGACTGGGTCACCTAGAAGGCTCAGCCACTACTCTTAAATGTACGGTGTACTCTGCGACTACAAGATCATAACTCCCACAGGCTGGACAGTGCCCCATGCAGAGTTTATAGTGCAGATGCCACTTACCGATATATCAGCATCCGAAGCAGACTTCAGAAACACCAGGGGCTACATCAGTGCTTTAAAACTGGAAAACGCTCTGAAACTGAGGCAGCAGAGGCTGTGACAAGGCTCTGGACTTGTAAGGCACTCTGAGGCTAACAAACCAGTACACAAGGTGTGTGGGAATGCCACAAAAAGAGCCCATTGTCCACGGGCTACATTACAGACAGACCCTGCAATTTCTGATCCAGCGGGTTCTGGGTCCAGCTTTGGCGCTCCGTGGTAGCGCCAAGGATCAGCGGTTCCAGAAAGCTGCATAAAGAGCCCAGCTCAGCAGGGTGCTGATTAGAGTCTTGATTGAAGAAGACAAACATTCACAAAGTATGTGGAATATCAATGTGTTAATAGAGAAGAAAAAATAACAGAGTTTTACTAAGTAGCAGTGAGGAGATGGAAGCTGTATAACCTAGATGTTTCGGATTATACTGATCCTTTAAGAGATGATAAAGAAAAATATTACAGAGGTTGTATACTTAGGCCATTAATAGGCACTTGCTGATACAGACTGTGGCTTGGAATACAGGGATCACTACAAAAATATCATTGTGGGACCTACTTTGTCTTTCGAGCCTTAAAGATTATCCAAACTCAAGAATACAAATGTAATATATTGCAAACTACCTTTCCTTAATCATGGTGAATGCATTATTTTATTTTTAAGACTACAGAGCACCTCCTCCTTTACTTATCTTGTAGTTTATATATTTAACATGGAGAGGCGAGTTTACATACACTAACACTGCACCCAACAACTCTTAATTGTTTTTTGTGAATAGCTGTCCCCAGAAAACTAATGTAATATGCCACTAATGGGTGCTGAATATGGCTGATAAAGAACCTTTCTGAGCACTGTCTGCATCAGCCTGTGCTAAGCACAACCACGGTAACCCTCCGCACAAAGCTTATAGGATTAATTGGATCCCACGAGTAGCAGTGCAATTGCAACTGACTGTTTAGCTGAGTGCAGTGCAAAGCATCTCAACAGGACCTCATCCTATTAGATACTCTGTACTGTGGTCCACAAAAAACTGCCAAGTGAGTTCAAAGCCAGTGGGCCTCTTAAGAAGTATCTATACCTTTCTTAATTCTTACCTTTCTTAAAGTTTACAAGTATGATAAATGGGCACCTACAGGCCTAAAGTTAAAGTGACATTAAACCCACAGATTTTTTAACATAAAACAATACTGTAATGTGTGCCTTACTGTAATCCATGGTTGTTTCCCTTCTCTTTGCTGCTCTTCCTTTTAAATCCTCATGTCTTCTCATGCTGGGCAGAACTTCTGTTTTGCAGCAGACTGCCTTGTCTCTGAAATGGATACATGGTGTCTGTGTGAAGGTTCACAACCTGAGCCAGCACTACAGGAAGAAGCACTCTGCTGCAAAGGGAAGTTCTCCCCAAGCATGAGAAGACATGAGGATTTAAAAGGAAGAGCAGCAAAGAGAAGGGAAACTACCATGGATTACAGTAAGGCACACATTACAGTATTGGTTTATGTTAAAAAATCTGAGGGTTTAATGTCACTTTAAGGACTTTTCCGTTCATGTAACATTTTTGACTTCCTGTCCCAAAGACAGAATTGAAAGGAACAGGAGACCTCGTCGAAGTGGGAAATCCCCTTGTTGTTTGTTACCGAACAGTATTTCCATTGGAAAATTCCTGCCACAGTAGCAACTCTAAAAATGTGGCTCTCCCGTCACTTTCTGTACTGGTGACAGTGGTTACCAGGACAGAGAAACCGCATTTAATTATAATTTTTTGTATCTTTTGAAATTTTCAGGTGTCCCCCACATCTCTGTGTGCACAGCATGCAAATACAAATTATAGTCAGAGCAGTGCTGAGGCGGCCTGTTCACAGTGCACTGCACCCAGCTACAGTTTAGAATATTGCATAATGCAAGGTACACATCAGAGCTTTGACAGGAAGCCATTGTCACTACTTCTTTACTAAGTGCATTGGATTAGTATAATTTTCTTTAGAAGAAGATAGCATAACTTTACATTCACATGACAGATATACTATAGGTCCACTTAGCACAATATTTACTTCTGGTCCAGTTTTGAAGTGACTTGCTGTAAGATCTGCACTGCTTGCTTGTGATATTCCAGTTGTGCTTGTACGAGAGCAGAAAGCTGGCTCACTTGTTCAATCTGAGAAAATAATAACATTAAGAGTAAACGATTGATCCAGATAGAGCTGAATTATTTTTTAAAGGGTCTCATAAATATTCAGTTATAGGAGCTACTATTGGAAAACCAAAAATATTTTCTTTGGCACTAGTAACAAATGATGGAGATACTGTAATTGCAACCTCAGTAGACCACCATAAAATGTCCAAACTCCTCAAGGAATAGGCAGTACAGACAGGGAGATCTGTTAATCTGTTAAGAACAAAGGGAAGCACTGAGGGCATTGTGAATGATGTAATAGTTTACTATACAAAGCTTATAAAAAGGTACTACAAAAGTGAATCAATCAATCACATACAGTATTACATCCACAGCGGGTTAAAACCAGTACTATCAGTCCCAGATCACCAACCCATCATTGCTGTCTAAACACTGGCCACAGCCAGTAACCATAGACCATAGCCTGCTCTGATGAAGGGGCACATTCTTGAAAACGCACTAGGCCTTACTATAGTTTCTGGTTGTTGTAGGTGTTTGGACAGCAATGATGAGTTTGTGAACCTGGCCTGGTAGTACTGATTTAATCCATCTGTTGTTGTTATAAATGATTAATTGATTCACTTTTGTGGATACCTTTTTATAAGCTTGTATAATTAAATAACCCATACTCCTCGAATCAAGGCGCACTGTCCTTCCTTTTGTTCTTGAGATAATATTGGAATGCCCATTTTTATACAGTATAAGGGGGTTTTTAAAAAAAACATTTTACCAAAAAGCACGCTTACCTAAATTATATTTTATGTACACTACTAAAAAAAAAAAAAAAACCACACACACACACAACTTTTTTGAAAAACAATCATATTGCTTGTTGTTTTCTCATCCCTATACATTTAGGGCTTCAGTTATAAAACTTCAGTCCAGATGCTGCTCACAAAGCATTAGCGCTCCTGGATGGTGCTGACGAGTATAGGAATGTCCTGTACTCATCAGCGCCATCTAGGGGCGTTAGTGCAGTGTGAATGCCATGCGTCCAGCATACAGCTGTATGCCGGGTGGAATTGTTATGAGTGAGGCCCTTAGTATTGCCCGGAATGTAAAACCTACCAGAGAACTTTCTAGTGGAGAAAAGAAATGTGAGCTTTAAACAAGTAAAAAAGAGAAAAAGGGATCAGCATAGAGTGTTATAGTAATAATTAAATCAGTTTTCCCTGGATTGACCCTCAAAGTGTTCACACACATACACACAAAACACATGTACATATGTACACACACAGAAGCACACCAACTTCTACTTTAGGTTTACTGAACCTTTAAAAGCACAGCCAGTGAATTCACACTTTAGAAACATGACAGGGTGGACAAATTGCCAGCATCTAAATGTTCTAACCCAAAGCTATAGTTTAAGAGATATTTTAGGATATAGTATAAATATAAAATGTAAGGCAATGTGATTAATAGTTTAAAGTAAAAAAAAAATCCTGAAGGAGCAAATATAGTAAAATATGGGGCAGATCACTAATGCAATGATCTGCTGGAATAGAAAATCTTTTAATTTTCATTGTATTCAACCAATTTTTCTGGTAATAAATTTAGCGTTATTTTAATTCCTCTGGGAAATTTGTATCTACAGTCAATCATAATCTAAATACAGTGTGATGTATTGAACTATAGAAAATGGCAGCAGCTGTTTTGCAGACAATGGGACTGATTGCATAAACAAAAGGTCTGTTGCACTTCTCATAGTAGCAATCCTAGAACTTTTAGTAGATGAATTATTATGAACACTGCAAGCAAACGGGCAGACTGGTATATCATTTTTAGTGCTTCATGTGCTTGTTCTGTTAATAAAATTTCCTTTAAATAGATCTAAACTATATTACAAAAAAAAAAATTAGGTTTTGGTTGGAAGGTTTAGAACCCATGTAGGGATTTTAGTGGTGTGTGTCCCCACTGGGGAGTTTCACTTTCTTTATTTGCCCTGGTGACCACTGTCATCAGGGCCCAGTCACAAATTCACGTTCTGCTGTGCTGCGTTAACGAGCGTTATGTTGCATGTTAACATTCGTGATATTAAGGTAGGCCATTCATTCGCTCTATCAAAAATGAAAAAAATAAATAATAATTGGGGTTTAAATATACTTCAACTCATCTATGCCAGTTAACCTGATAAAGTCTAGGAGTTCTTGCAGTAAGAAGTGCAGGATACCTGTTTATTTGACACAGGAGTCAGACTTGCACCCTTCGGTTTTACATGTAATTCAGCTGGGTCATGGGGAACTCACAGTAGTACATTTTTGCATATACAATTGGATTGAGTTCACTGGGAAAAAAGAGGTCACGGCAATAAACCATGTCTTTTCTTTAAAGGGTAATTCCACAATCCCAGTTAAAATTTGGGAAAATTAAATTACCCCCACTGGTCTTACCTTTGACCAAACGTTCCTCACACCCTGCGGCTTCCAGTGTATTATCCACACACGTACACAGCAGCACAGCCCTGCTCTCGGTATTTCAAATTCTGATCGCAAATGGCTTAGCAAGAAGAATGGTCAGCGCAGTCAGAAGTGTTTCTCATTGGTCAGTGTGATCAGGTGAGTGTTCAATATTTGCAAGCAGAATTTGAAATACTGAGCGCAGGGCTGCACTGCTAAATACAGTGTACGGACAGTACACCAGCAACCACACAGAGGAAGGAGCGTTCGGTCAAAGGTAAGAGCAGCAGGGGGAGAAGAGGGGGCAGATTGGTGGAGGTAAATCCATTTTCACAAATTTACGTACCACAGAAAAATGACAAACATTCAATTAGTTCTTTGGAGCAGGAACCTCAGGTTTTTTTTCCCTCCAGTTGTGATCTGCATGCTAGTTCAGGGTCAGTGACTCAAAAAGTACTAACGTTATTGAGTCAGCATGAAAGCCAGGCAACCAGCAGTTTTAGATAGAGAGGAAAAAATTGTCAAACTACATATTCCTCCAGTACAGTTTTACCTTAAATGAGAACTATGGGGTTAAGGCTTTTCCCCATAGTTCTCCTTAGGGTAACGGGAGGACACAAACTAGCGTCCTCCCGTCACCCTAGGCTCAGTATACTGCGAGCTGTAGCTCGCGGTATACTGAGACGCCGCAGTGCACCGCGAGCTGCTGCTCGCGTTATACTGAGACGCCGCAGCTGAAGCGGATCCCGACAATTATGTCTGGATCCGCCCAGCTGCTTGACTGACACCTGGCTCTGCCTATCTAGAGGCAGAGCCAGCTGTACCCGCCCCCTCACCCGTCCGTTCCACCAGTCAGCGCTGGCAGATCGGAGCGGGGAGGGGGCAATCCAGCCCCTCCCCTGTCACGCCAGAGAGCCGTGACAGGATTGAGAGGTGAGCGAACGCCGGTATGTGTTCGCTCACCTCCCGATCTACTAAGCCGACCTGTGACAGTCTCATTGTCACAGGTCGGCTAGAACTATGAGGTGAGTGAAAAGCACTCACCTCATAGTTCTCTTTTAAATACATTAGCAAGATAAACATGGAATTCACTGAACATTAAGGAATGTATGTTCTTCACCATAGTACCTGTCATTCTGACCCTGTCAGTTTTCAAATCTGCCAAAACTCCTACTTTGTAAAAGGACAATGTAAATATTTACCTTTTCCACTCTCCCCACTGCTCTGTTCTAGAGGAATGATCCCCTGAAAGTGACACTAAACTCTGGAGTTAAATCTTAAAAAAGCATTCAAGTGCCCTAACTATTAACAAAGATTTATCACTCAGCTGTAGATCCTCCAATCATCTCTGAATTGGGGCTGACACTGTCCTTCCTTCTGGAGGGTGGCTACTTTGTTACCCATGGTGCCTGTGTGTTGTAAAGTAGCTACCACTCCAAGTTTGCTCCCGTGATGGACTACAGTTTTTCTTCAAATTATTAAACTAAACATGAGATTGTAGTCCACCACAGGAGTAAGCTGGGAGCAGTGACTACTTTACAACACACACAGGCACCATGGGGAACAAAAGTATCCACCATCCAGAAGGAAGGACAGTGTCAGCACCAATTCAGAGAATATTTGAGGATCTACAGCTGAGCCACACACAAATAAGGTACATTTTTGTTAATAGGTAAAGTACTTTAATGCATTTTTAAAATATAACTTCTGAGTTTAGTGTCACTTGAAATCCACAAGGTCACCCAACACTTACAAGAGTGCTAGTCTCCTGGGTCACCTACCATCCTCTACATTGCTGAAGAATACAGGTCAGCTCGAACAAGCGAGAGGGGAGCTGACCGGGACACTAAAGACTGAAACTCTCAGAAGAGCTGATTTCCCAGTAGACTTTGGAAAACCCTCCCTCTAGAATAGAGCAGTGTTCAGTCGCATGGACAGAATGAAAGGTAAGTATTTAAAGGGTATGAGTTTTGGGAGATTTAAAAACGAATGACAGGGTCGTTTTAAAGAGACACTGCCACCTCCCCATTCAATGCAACAGTGCCTCCTGATATTTCAACCCCAGCATGTTATAATCACTGACTCAGGTTCCCTTTCTAGCAGAGTAAGTTCCAATGTCAGATGATGTTACAGCTAAACTAGGTTAATGACATCACTGGCCCCCCACCTAATGGGTGGGTCCCAGCGATTGGCAAGCACTGTGACATGGGGGAGATCAGATGCTCATATTGAATGCCCCACTACCCTAGAGCAATAGAGTAAAGACTACAAGGGAGGGAGGATGTCAACAGAGTGAAGAGGGAGTGCGGACCATTTGCTATCGGAAGGGGGGGGGGAAGGGCAGGTGACAGCGTCTCTTTAAAAGAAAACTTCATTGGGTACATATTTGGAACAAATATTGAAAACGATTGTAAAATAATTTTTAGATATTACTGCTTGTTATTTTTTATGGGTATTAAACAACTGTGAATGCTGAGATAATAAGATAATGCATCTAGTTTTCAATCAGTATGAGAGCACTGAAAGACCTGGATAGAGAGAGAGGATCTGCAAACATGATTACCGACTGTAAAAAATTTTTTATCAAATTTTATTTGCATTATTACTTTGTTTTCTACCTGGTTGTGTTTCTTTTGCAAAGCACCATCTGATCATGCAGTGTACCAGTGCTGAATTAAAAATCTAATGGCATATAAACATTATAGGAGAAAAGTTCTAGTTTAAACAAAAAAAGTATGTTATCCCTTACATCCATCTCCAAAAGGTTAAACATGCTTGATTCTGCAATTTCTTTGGACTCATCAAATTTCTCTAAAGCCTGGCGAATCTCGTCATCTGTGATCTTGCCTTGTCGTTTCTTCTTATAATCAAAGTCCAGACGCCTCCCCTCCAGTTTCTTTAAGTGGTGCTGAGGAAAGGATAATACTATAACTATGTTTTATTGGGTACATACACTTAATGCACAGTACACATTTAGCCCCAGATTTTTATCATTCAGCCAACTGAAATGTATACAGCAATTCATAAGATCTAAGAAATGAATGCATCCCTAAAGATGTATTTAACTACATAATATAGAAAGACAAAATAAAATAACAAACTGAAGGTCCTTATTCTACAGTTTATCACCATATTATTTCTATCCCCATTAATACCCCACCACCCACTCATCCCCCATGTATAGCAGACATCCACTAGTGTTTTAAATTTCTCTATAACCTTAAGACAAAACAAAATAGAGCTGCTAACAGTATAAAGTGCAGTGATGCAGTGGTGCCTGCACATCCTGTGAAGAAGCTCTCATTCCCCTATTCTATGGCAAATGCTGGACGTTCTTTTATTCATTAGATATCAAAGGTGAGCAAACAATAAAGGAAATACAGAAAGTTAGAACAATCTCTACATAAAGATGTGAACAAAACATTCCATGTCTTACATAGATCCAACAAACCTAAAAATTCAAAAAATTAATATCATAAAAGCAAAAACAATAAAGACACAAAAAGAAGATAGGAAGAAGCCCTTCTGGATAAATTCAGAACATTACTAAATATGAGCCAGTCCAGGCATAGGGGAAAGGAAGGGTAGGGAAGAAAGTAGGAGGGGGAAGAGGAAGGTGGGAGGGAGGGGACAGGGGGAAGGGAAAGTGAAGTGGGAGGCAGAGGATAAGGTAAGAGAACCAGGCCCAAAGCTATAAAACATGGAAACTGTTGTCCGGGAAATAGAAGCATCCAACTGTATGCCAGCATGAAACACAAAGCAGAGCCAACATAAAAATTACAACTAGTAAGGTCTCCCTACAGAACACCAGCATTCAAACCAAAACCAAGTGCAGACACGTCCCCCCCATTAATTCTCCAATTTGAGTCCCTGCGCATCCACCCAATCATCTCGCAATGAATGGTCCGCAGCACAGCCCAACAGTATAGATGGAGCACAGGAAATTACCTGACCACATGCATAAAGGAGCCCACCTTACATTTATATCTATGGCAATAAGGAACTGTCGGGTAGATTAGAACCGGTCACTGGGGGGTATAATATACCCTGTGCAGGAATTTAAGCTGCAGGAAACTGTCCCTGGATAATACTAGAGTGATTGTCGAACATACTCGTCCCAGTCATCCTCCCTCAGAGCAGGGATGTCCTCTTGCCATTTCTTGAACAATTGGGAAAATATGGGAGAAGTAGAACAGGTCAGTCTAAAATAAAGCGAGGAAAGCGGTTTATGGAATCAATCTGTAGCCAAAAATGTGCAAGCAGACTCCACAGACAAGGTGAAGCAATAAACTAAACAAAAGTCCCCAAACAATAGTATGTCAGATATTCTTGATGGGCAAAGCAGCAGCTCTCCCTGGTTGTGACATAGTTGGCCAGCCCCCTCTCTGCACTTTTAACCCAATAGCAGCTGTCTTTTATTTCAAAGTGACAGAACCATTTTCAAATTTGTGTTCCCTCTCCCCACTGCAGCTACATACATGTAGTTCAATTGCCCTCCCAGAACTGCCCAATGCCAATCACAACACCTTGGAATTGTAACATGGGGGTAGGGGCATGTCTAGCAGTTTTTGGGTACTGGCAATCAGGGCATGTTTGTTACTTGCTTAGAATCTGCGCAAGTTAAGAGTGGCAAGCTTCATAGCTGAACCTTGCCAACTTCCTTTTCATTGACCCCTAAGAGTGCATGAAGTGAAGGAAAGTTAGGCCACAGTAACAAAGTGAATCTAAGAGGGCTTAGGAGTGGCTATTCCAGATAAAAGAGGTCATAGCAGGCTTTTTTGTGGTGTTTGCTCTAGCGTAAGACTTACCTCTAAGGGTTTAAAATGGAATACAGGTTCATCAATAGGCACTGGAAAAAGATGAACAAAAGAAATAGATTTAAAGAAGAACCCCAGGAAATCTAAAAATTAACCCTTACAGTGGGGCTTCTCTTGCACTGCAAGGGTTAAGTGCTCTTTTTTTCCCTAGGGGCCTGAAGAAAATATACTCCCCCGATCCTCAATCCTATGGCAGTCTGCGCTCACCTTTCCCCCCCCCTCTGCTCTGGTGGTGAAATGTCTATCAGCGTCCACGCATCTAATGGATCGACATTAGACGTGATGACGTCACGGGTCCCAAGACTGACAGAGTCCGGGGAAGAAGAGGCTGCGGGGACCAGTCTAGCAGACAGGAGGGACCAAGGAGTAGGTGACTATATTTTTTATATTTTATCCCTAGAGGAAAAACAAGCAGTTAACCTTTGTAGGGTGGAGGTAGCAACTGTAATGGTTCATTTTTAGATTTCCTGGAGTTCTTCTTTCACAGCTAAGGTGACATCCTATTTACATCTATCAGTGCCTTTTAAAATGTAAAACATCCTTTAATGCAGCTTTGGGGGGTTATATATCGTCAGTTCCCTTTGCTGCATAAGGGAGGCTATAATAAGGTTCCCATTTGTATATTAAACTTTGTCCCATTTTAGGTCACATTTTAGTGCCTGGAATCTCTGCATTCCTGAATATGTGCTCTCACTGCTGCATTCTAAAACTGGTCATTATTAGTACTTAGACTTTGAAGTTATCAGTGCTGTGGTCATTACTACAGAGCAGAACTGTACAGCCACATTTTTAATTAAATGACTGATAGTTGTATGAGATCATTCGAAGAGGCAATGTTGGTCCACTTTCTTGCACACAGGGTCCAACAGTGTGGGTCCTTGCACAAAGGATAAGCCAAAATACATTGGACATTACAACTACATTTTATACTTTGCTCCATATTCCTACTAGCAATGTGTTATAGCTACCCAATGGATCACTCTGTGTGCTTCATATTATTAGTTAGGGTTTGGTAGTTGTCTGGGTGGCAGTAGAGTGCATTCTGTGAATATAGCCTGTTGTCCATAAGATGTAAAACACGTGGAAATCTTTTCATCAGGTTTGATGTGGATTGTAGAGTGTAGCCTCAAGTAGGGCATGGGTATTATCTTCAGGCATTTGTATTCTAATATGTTGCTCCTGGACTTAGCAACAGCCCTCTTAATTTGACAGGTGGTTGCAATTGGGCTGTATGTTTGGAAAACTCCCTTTTGTGCTTCCGTAAAAGTTCAAACCAGTACGTAGGGTCTGAGCAAAGAGACTGTATATTATAACTTGGCTGTTCACCTGTGTAGAAAACAAAATGCCAGTTCCAAGTTATGTTAGTCTGTCTGTAAGTTTTCAATGTCAACAGGGTATTGTCTTATCAAGAGAATAGTTTTATTACCCCTGGTGTATATCAGTCATGAGTGATCCCTAGTATCTGTTCCATACCAGGCTTGAAAAATGCTAACAAACTCCTGAAAGGCTTCCTTTTAATCTATCCAGCTGATAAAAAGGTATCAATTAACTGTACATTTTCCTACTTAAAGCGTTATAAAAGAAACCTGACACAGATCTGCTGTCTTTACAACGGTTGAAGGGCTAGCGCCAGTTTAAATTAGCTTTTAATTATTGCTGACCTGTGTGGAGTAAGTCATTACATTTGTCACCTTTTACTTGTTGTTACAGGTTGAATTACATGCAGCAGGAACAAATGAATGCCAGATGCAAAATATAGAATGAATCGAAAATGGCTTGTTACATCATACCCAATGACAAGGTTGTGATGACCTTTCATTTAAAAAAATAAAAATAAAAAATATACAAAAGCAGATGGGGCTTTAGACCCTTTAGAAACTATAATTTCTGGAGCTTAGATTCCCAGATAAAGCCTAGCAGTGTCAGAATGCGTCAGTAAACTTGACAATAACTCTATGATTATTTCTTTCTGTTTGACATAGGACTCATGAATTAGGAACATGCTCAGTTGTGCATTTCTATTTCTCTGCTGCCAGGTCAATCAACATTCTCATGGTTAGGGGCATTTTTCAGGCAGACTTTTGCAGCCAAAGTGGGTTAATGCCTAGGTTTATATCTGTTACATGTTCTTATTCACATAGTAAAAATTGCTGCTTTAATATGGCTTGCTTTTCTCTAAACTGACTTTTCCTGTGAAATGCTAAATAATGAGGGTTAACCTATAACCTTTAAGAGTGGGGGTTAACCTGTCTTTACTGTGCTGGCTGAGAGGAAGCTCAGTTTGTCCCCATTCTATGTGAACAGACAGTTTCCTGTCACTTTGAAACTGGAAAGAGAAGCTTGCATTCTATCCAAAGGCCTGCTTCACAAAAAGACATCTAAAAAGGTAAGAATTATTATTTTTTCAATTATTTTTAGGTATGCTGTGTGGATAGAAACGCATAACAAACATATACTGGGGTTTTCTTAAATTTTTCTGCAAAAGAGCTACACTTCAAAAAGGCTTATTGTGTCACAAATGGGTAAAGCTGATTTTTTTTTGTTTACCTGTATTTCCCTTAAATCTTTGTCATGCAGATTTTGTAGTGGATCTATGAAATTCTGTTTCACGTCAATGTCTAAGGAGTCTTTGATATCAGAAAGCTCCCTCATAGCTTCCCCTACGTCAAGAAGAGCTGGACCTGTTAGTTAAAACAAATAAAATAAAAAAAATCAGTATAGTGTCCCTAGGATATCAAACATAGGGTAATTTTTTAAAGACATATTTTCTAACATGAATAGGATTTAACGACAAGATCAGGAATATATAAAAATCCCCCAGCTCTAAGCCTACCTCAATACACAGCTGTATTAAGGAGCCACATACCACAGGTCTGTATTTACCTCATCTGACAGCTAGGGCCTGCTGCATGGTCTACAGCCTGGACAGTGACAATTTAGTACCAGTGAATGTACTGGAATGTTATCGTCCCATAAACTTGAATACTGCAGAACCAATGCCCCACTGAATTTTTTAAGATGTTAGTGCGCGGAAAGCTCAGCACTGGACTGTAGATCGCGCAGGAGGCCATAGCCGTTGGACGTGGTAAGGACTTGCGGGTGGTGGGGAGTTGCCACAGCTGAGTGTATTAGGGGGACTAAGGAGGAAAACCAGGGTGATTTTGTTACATATTCCTGAACTTATATTTTAACAGGGTTATTCACAAATGGGTGAAGAGTTTGGAGAAGGCAGGAGAAGTGAACAATCTAGGCCAAAAATAGCTGATTCTGAACTTTCTCCAATTCAACTCACTTTCCAGTTCAGCTACAGTATGTTGTCCTAGATTGTTCACTTCTCCTGCATTCTCCAAACTCTTCACTCTTTTGTGAATAACCCTGTAAATGTTTGAAAATAATGTATTTGGTTTGTATCTAAAAGTTAATCATGTAATAAATCAAACTATTTTGAACTATGAAACCATTAGGTGACAAGGCTGTTGAAATCTGAGGCCACTTCTATTCGTCTTTCCCACTGAAGTGTTTTTTCGGGAGGTATAAACTGGTTGTTTCATGCACATGAATGACAAGTCAGGTGAAAATAAAACAGTACTTTCTATTAGATCAAGATTGAAGACTCTACACCTGCTATTCATGGAATCTTAGGAAGAATATCTACATATGATGTTATCAGCATTTAACTGTTTATATATTGCTTTTACGTCTCTAGCATCCATTTAAAGTTTGTCATAAAGGAGGAAACATGTTAGAGAGGTTACAAAGTAAGGAAAAAAAAGTCCACTGGCCTCATGAATCAAAGTGTCAATACTATAAAATTTTGGTTCCCCACCACCAGTCAAAGTTAGACTTTCCACTTTCCAAATTTCCAAACTGTCATTTTCTAGGGCAGATCTATAAGTGATTGGTGCCTGCTGGGTAATAAAAGTACTTAGTACTGGCAAATTGATATATGAGGTCTTGTAGAGAAAACGGTCTCTGCAACATTGCTCAACTGGAACTAAAAGGCACCAGTAATCTATAGAGCACTGCAGCCCATTTATGTAACATGTCCAACATTTGAAAAGCAAAATGAAGCGATGTTATCTCAGTACCGTAAATCGTAGTGTGTTATACGAATACAAAACCTTAACAGATTACTAATACTTCCAAATACAGCAGACCAAGTCCAGTACAGACTATCCCCAGAAAAGCAGCACACAGAGAAAAACAAAAGGAATTAACCAGTTAACAGGCACTACAACATAGCTGAAGTTTGCAGTATTTGTTTTAAAGGCAGATATAACATTTAGCATCCCAAATAATGAAGTCACATTAGATAGAAGGAACAAAAGAATTTACATGATAAAAAAAATTCAAAACAAATTACCAAAGTTGGATTCATCTCCAATCTCTCTGCCATACTTAAACATGGCTTCGGCTAACAAGGTTTCAGCTTGAGGATACCCAGGCCCCTTTTCTTGTCCACGGATCTTTGACATTGTGTTTATCATACTGAGTTTTGCTCGAGAAGCTAAACATCAAGAAACAGACATTAGTATTAGGGTAGTAATGACTTTTTAGATTGGGTTATGTAAAATGTTTTAATAAATCCACTGATTCCCACATTGTTGTCCATTGCCAGTTCAAATTAGTTAAGTTTAACTAACAACATTATTACCTGGATTAGGCTGGAGATATTCTATTGACTTTGTCATGATTTCTAGGACTGCTCTACTGGTCACATCAACTTTCTAAGAAAAAAGAAAAAGTCAAATATGAAGATATATTTATCATAAAGAAAAGGAGCCAGTTCAGGTAAAGACACAAATGTTTTAAGATGTTTACTCAATGTGACTGCAAGCCTTTAAAAAAATAGTTGAACTGGCTGCAATGAAAGAACACAGCTCCCATACAAACATTTATAAGGAAATGTTGGGGTCAATTTTATTTACATTTTTTAGGTTCATTCATTTTGAAATCTTTACATATGTTTATTAACACCTGTATACAATATTATGTTTACAAATAAACATCAAATAGACTATTCATACTTGAAAAGGATTCTCGGAACACTCGGGGTTATCTAAAGAGACAACATACAAGAACCTGCCTTTTGGGTATCCGTGTATCTACTTCTGTTTCTCTATCTCTGCTGACTAACACATTGTTCTGACTCCTTTACATTTTAAAAATGTTATTGTTTTAGTCCTGACCATATTATATAAAAATGTTTGCTGCTCACCCGATATTTGCATCAGATTAGTACCAAATCATTTAGGAAGGTGCTGGAAAATGGAAGATTATCCTATACGTTCTAAGAATGCTTGACACCGTTAAACTACACTACTAACTCTGGAGATAAATCTTAAAAATGCATTCAAGTAATTTAACTAATAACAAAAATGTATTTTATTTGTGCATCATTCAGCTGTAGATCCTTAAATCATCGCTCAATTGGTGTGGACATTATCCTTCCTACTGGAGGGTGGCTACTTTTGTTCCCCATGTTCCCCGTGTGTGTTATATTGTAGCCACCGCTCCAAGCTCACTCCTGTGATAGATTATAACTTCAATACAAATTAGTAAACCAAAAAATGAGATTGCAGTCCATCACGGGAGTAAGCTTGGAGCGGTGACTACTTTACAACACACACAGGGACCATGGGGAACAAAAGTAGCCACCCTCCAGAAGGAAGGACAGTGTCTGCACCAATTCAGAGATGATTTGAGGATCTACAGCTGAGTGATAGACAAATAAGATACATTTTTAGTAATAGTTAAGGTAGTTGAACAGAAGGAAGAACATATGCTTCTTTAAGAGGAATTCTTTATAATTTCAATATTGTAAGAAGTGTTTACATCCTGTATCGTGATTGACACTATATGCCTTCACATATACCTTAAACCACTCCCATGATGGTGCCATACCTTCACCTCTAGAAATATGCCTCTTACTACATTTTTCCTCAGGATTCTATGCTGGGATCATTGTTACACCTTAGGGTATAAAAGTAGGGCTTTAGGGTAGAAGGGCTCTACATAATAAAATAGTAGGGTGAAGAATAGCAAGAAACAATGGTTGAGGTCTAAAAGCACTTGTGTAAAACCTATAGAAACTAGGCATCATAAAAACAAAATGTTTATACACCAATTTTTTGAGTATTTAGAGGAAACTGACTAGGAGCTAATAGGAAGAAATATATGGCATTAGGGAGCCTTTAACTATTTAATGTTAGTAAATGCACTAAAATTGACCATCCATCCTTTACCAAGCTTCTATTACTACTGTATATACATAATTTCTTTAGAAAAAGAATTACATTTAGAGTATTGTGCGATTAAAAATTTGAAAAGTAGAATTTACAATTCATAGTATACACATATGCATGTCATGCTTACCACACATGTTCTGTGCACACATACAAGATGTAAGAGAAAGACAGCAGGAGTGATAATGATATGGTACAAGGCAGAATTACAATGGTTGTGGCTGCTAACTACCACATATAAAGCACAGAGACACATCCTTGAGATGCACCTGCACCGACACTGCCTTGAAAAAGCACAGCTCTCTTACAAAAGTAAGATACATATAACCGATGATTGCTGAACCTACTCTGTAGCCTGGATAATTATATTTCTGGCTTATGAAAAATAAAGAATTACACATCTCAGGGAATCTCAAAGCAAACTATTAAATCACAATTTCCTACATTGCCTCTCGGCTGGCTGTTTGTGATATCCTTTGTACTCCATAATTAAGCCACACATTATATTACTAACTCAGTCCTTTGTGCTTTCATTATTATATTTAAAACTATAAAAGCTGCAATTTTCTTCTGTGTCGTTCTTTCAGAGGAACAGAATAAGTGTTTGCCTATCACAAACTGACAGAGAAAATAGCTACCATTGCAATTCTGTCTGACAGCATGTACGTAGCACTGACTTTACTAGTCAACATATTCTAAAGTCATAAAAGGTACCTATACAAAGACTGATAATAGGCATATTATCCAATGTAGGACGACAGGCTGAGAGGAAGGAAGAGAGGGAGAGAAAAACTTGAAAGTGAAGCACGTTTGTATGTCAAGTTAAGCTTCAGCTGTCTAGAGATATATGTTCATACAAACGATCTTCTGGTGCATTGAACATATTGGTGAAAATTCTATATCACAAATGAGTTGTGAGTACAAAATGGGGACACCAGACATGAGGCTAACAAGTTATATTTCCTTTCACCCTATTTTGTAGCAATTACATTCTCCACTTTAACTGAGCTTTACCTTTCACAGTTTAATAATATTCTTTAACATGGACAGAACTCCGGGTAAAATTCTTCTTAAATCTTGCAGTGCGGGGGTAGCCCCACTGCAAGGGTTAAGTGCTCGCTTTTGTCTAGGTTCAAAAATGAAAAAGGTATACTCATCTGATCCTCAGAGATGGCGTGCACTTAGACCGCTCTCTTCTGACTCACTATACCTCCGCTGCAGTAGTCTAAGGTCCCCGAGTCATCACATTCTATTCACAGTGTACAGGATCTGAGGACACCGTTGGAGCAGAGGGGGAGAGAGGCAGGAGGGACCACTGTCACAGCCGGCCAGCTTTCGAGGGTCAGGTGAGTATATCGTTGTTATTTTTTAACCTAGACAAAAACGAGCCCCACTGCTAGGGCTAAGAATAGTTTCCTTAGGCACTGATCTTGCTAGACCTACAGTGTGGAAAATAATGATTTGATCCCCTGCAGAGTTTGTATGTTTGCCCACTTACAAAGCAATGAAAGGTCTATAATTTTTGTATTATAGGTGTATTTTAAATGATAGAGACAGAATATCAACCAAAAATCCAGAAAAAACACATGATACAAATGTTATAAATTGAGTTGCAGCTCAGTGAGTAAAATCAGTATTTGATCTCCAAGCAAAACATGAGTTAGTACTTGGCGGAGAAATCCTTGTCGGCAAGCACAGAGGTAAGACTTTTCTTGTAGTTGGTTACCAGGTTTGTACCCATTTTAGGAGGGCTTTTGGTCCACTCTTCTTTACAGATCTTCTCTAAATCCTTAAGGGTTCTTGGCTGTCGCTTGGCAACTTGAAGTTTCAGCTCCCTCCATACATGTTTTTATAGGATTAAGGTCTCGAGACTGGCTAGGCCACTCCATGACCTTAATGTGCTTCTTGTGCTTTGTTACCTTGTGCTTTGTTACCTTTGGAGCCAAAATTATTGTTGGTTGGTAGGGGATCAAATACGTCTTAGAAATGTCTTACCTCTGTGCTGCCAACAAGGATTTCTCCACTACTAAGTACTAAGTCATGTTTTGCTTGGGGATCAATTACTTATTTTACTTACTGAACTGCAACTCAATTTATAACATTTGTATCATGTGGTTTTCTTGATTTTTGGTTGATATTCTGTCTCTAGCATTTAAAATACACAAAATACACATATGATAAACATGTCTTTGTAAGTAGGCAAACTTACCAAATCTGCAGGGGATCAAATAATTATTTTCCTCACTGTACGAGATTTGGAATGAGATTTAGTGATGCAACGTCTGTGCTGCTTATTATTATTGGTTCTGGGGTGGAAGGATTGTAACATTTCCTTGTTTCTGGTCCGTTCATTTGCGGGATGCTTCCTACTCCTCTCCTGCTTCAACATTCTCCCACCAGCAATCAGATTACCAGTCATCAGGGGGCAGTTCTGACTTAGGGAAGCAAAGCCTTGTCTCTTTCAAGATGGCTGCCACCATGGAGAGGATGTGCAGATACAGAAATGCTAAATCATTAATGTGGATAAGATCAGCTGCATGGTGCCCACAGGCAATACTGGAGACTAGTCCTTTGCCTTCTGCTTGTTCTTTTAGCCACCGCTTTCACAGTACAGGTCATTTTAGGTACTAAAACAGAACATGTTAATTACAAACAACTCAGTGGCGTAACTATAGCCATAGCAGGGGTCTGGGAGTGGAAGGGGGCCCCATTAGGTTATTGAGCCAATTAAATATAGAACATGTGAAGCTAATACAGCACTGTATCATTAAGGGTTGGAGTGGTTACAGTTGGAGACAACTCTAATCCCCTGTAAAGTTGTAAAGTCTACAGTGTAGAGGTGACTTCAGATGTACAAGAGGAGTCTTTGGAATCTTGGCATTGTTACTCACAGCTCAGAGAGAGGTTGTCAGGGGGGCCCAGCCATCACATTTTTGCTATGGGGCACCATGTTCTGTAGTTAGGGCCCTGAAACAACTAATATAACATTATTGAAAAAGATGGATAGAAAAAGTGAGCACTATACTTACTCTTTCCATTTCTTTAAAGTCCTCGTCAAGCTTGGTGCCTTCAGCCCCTCCAACCTTCTCACTTACTTTCTGTAATATAATTAGAACGACAAATCAGTATAAGACATTCAACACTGTGAACAACTGCACTCAATGAAGAGGCTACTTAGAGAAATAAGCAAGTAACTCAGTGAAATGTTTAATATCTTAACAAATACAATCACATTCACTCATCCCCCTAACCAGAACTTTCAAGATTCTTAAATTAAAAATTCCTCAGATATGTTTATTCATGGTCTGATTTGTCTAGAAACTTTGTGATGGAAAATAAGGAGTGGAATTTGTTCATTGGAACCTCACAAAGAGTAGATGTAATATATTGCTGACAAGCACCACTAGGTAATGAAGATGGTGAGTGCAGAAAGTACCAAAAAAGAACTAAAAAGGGCTTGAAAGCGTTTCTAAACCAAACATAAAATAATCAACACTTAAACCAGCAGTCCAGCAAACCATCAGTACAACCAACAGTGCCATGATACATTTATGTGGCTCATGGGTTCACAGCTGCCCATTTACCCTTTCACACTTACACAGTGGGCAGATGTAAATGTGAGCTCTAGCCTTGAGTGCTGATAAAATTATTTATATTAAAAAAACAAAAACAGCAACAGTACTGACACCTTGTCCATTTTAAGCATTTCCATTATTCTCAATAGCATCTCTGTCGAGAACAGCCCAGATTCCAAGCAGTGACAATCAGACAGGCAAAGTAGGATACAACAGAACCCACAGGTTAAGAAAAAGGATACACGGTGTGGATGAGCTCCTCTACCTACAGTAGTACCCTTCACTCATAATATAGGGGGCCCTGACATCACCAAAGGGCTGCAGATAAAATTCAGTAAATGTAATGCTACAAATATTTGCAGCTGTAAACATGCACCATGAGATCATCAGGGATTACAGAAATGCTAAAAAGATGGGCAGAGACTGCGGGCATACTATAGAAATTATTGGGGACTAAGAACATGCATCAGAAAAAAGTCAGACTGGAGACACATTACATGCTTCTAGAAATCACTAGTATTACAGCCCCTTTACAAATGCTTCCAAACTTGTACTTTTTTATAGATCACTTCAAATGAATTTTGCCACATACAAATATGTCTCTCAGCAAGATCCATTAGATAAGATCCACAGAAAATACATAAAAAGAACATAGGAATGGACATCACAGAAAAAACTAGAGAAATACTGGAAAATAAAATGTATTCTTCCCAACATTTAGGCCCCTTAACACCAAGACGGCATCATTTTTGCACGTCTGTAAGCGCAGGTTCACATTTATGCGCGTTTGCCACATTTTTGAGCGCATGAAAACGAGCGCACATGAAGACGTACAAACGCGCAAAAACGCCCATGAAAATGTGCAACATGCTTCTGCCGTCCGTTACCTGGTGTTTCCATTGAAGTCTATGGGGGGAAAACGAGCTGTAAACTGCCAAATAAGGCTCATGTAATTTTTTAAAATCTTTTGGCAAATGCTTTTCTACTACTCAAAAATGCCTAGATGTGAACTAGGCCTGAGAGCCGACATGTGTCACTGCAGCTCTTACACGTCAGTTCTATAGCTCATGGCTTCTCCCTGCTGAGAACTGGGACTGTCATTCATCGCTCCACGCAGGGATCCCTCCCCTTTCTCTATTCCTCCAGTGCTTATTGGAGGGACAGACAGGGGAGGGGGCACGCACAGCTGGCTCTAGAGAGGCAGAGCCAGCTGTCAATCAGGCAGCAGGGTGGATCCCGACAATAATGTTGGGATCCTCCCCAGGTGCAGCAAGGCTCTGCACTGTCAGCATATAGCGAGCAGTAGCTTGCTATATGCTGAGTTAGTTAATGTACTCCTGTGACCCAAAAGAGAACTAAGGCCAAAAAAAGGTGCGGCTTTAGTTCTCTTTTAAGACAGCTTGAAAAACATAAATAAACCAAGCAATGTAACTAGTATAAGCCAGTCTAAATAATATTTTTATTCACTGTCCCATGTTAGCACTTAGGTAAGGAAAATCCAGACTACTGTAGGCAGTGGCCCCAAGGGCCACTTCAGAAGTGCTCAGGGCTGCAGGCTGGTCACCAGGGTTTTAGATGAATTATCTGTGTTAAGTAAAACCCATTTATTATATAAAATATGAAAAAGGTTTAGATATTCTGTCACGTTGCCTATTCAGAGCAAACTGACAGGATCTGTGCAACAAACGACAAGTGCCACTGACAGCTAAGAAGGGACAGCAAAGTGGAAGTTGAGACAGGAAACCTCATCAAAGAAGAGGCTCTTCAAGGGTGCCAGCAAATGTTAGGGAGGGGTGCTATGGCTTAAATAGAAACAATGACCTGCAATGGATGCAAACAACGCACATACATTTATAATGTCAAGTACTCCTGGCACACCAGACAGGCAAGAGTGGTACGAAGCAGTGGAGAGGCAAAGCAGGACAGACAAAGCAAAGTGGACCAAGAGAGAGATGCCTCCGAATAGATAGAAGACCTACAGTTAGAAAAATCCCGGGAAAGTGAACAAAGAAGGGATAGCAAAAAAAAAAAGGGAGGGAATGCCCAAAAGGGTGAGATAAAAAAAAATCTGAATTCATACAAAATTGCAAGGATCCTAACAGATCTTTACATATCTATAGCCCAGCTGCCATCTTCTCTACACATAAATGCTGCTCCTCCTCTAGAATGGTATCGACAGGCAGCAAGCTGTCAATTCTCGCTGCTGGAAAGTAGTTACCATGGAAATTGGGAGAAACACAGGCTTTACTTTAGCTGTAAGAGCAAAATGTAGTAAAGTCTATTATTTGAATTGGAAAGAAATCCTTTATAAAAAAGGGATGCAAACTCACAGTCTGAACTATATGAAGAGGCTGCATAAACAGAGTCCCGGCGGCAAAAGTCGCCGGGAGTCTGTTTAAACAGCCCCGATGCTGGCGACGTACACTGTACGTCGTCAGTCACTGAGGGGTTAAAAAGGAAAAACATGGATCAGTCAGCAGAATCAGAATGGCTCCAGACCCCAGTGGAGCTGCCATGGAATGGTGAACTGAAGAAGTTGACTGCTACAGGGCAGCTGTTATCAAATGTCACTCCATCAACTTATCAGCTTGGTCATTTAAATATATGAACATAGGGAAAAAAGTGTATCAAATTAAATTATGAAACCTCACAAATGCCTGCTCAAAATCATTTCCTATTTGTAGATTTTAATGTTAATATAATATTACAGTAAATGTAAAAAGAAAATGAAGATATACATTGTCAAGAATAGGGGTACAGGGATAAAGGAGGCAGCCAGGTATCGCTGTCCATTGTGCGCCCTCAGAAAGCAACCAGTGCGCACACAAATTATGGTGAGAACACCTAGTCACCCAATTCGGACACAGGTAGCCACTGTAAAACAACATGCACAATATAAAACCCACTGATGCCACCAGATATTAACCCCTGCGTGACGGGAGTCTGCACTGTACGTCCCGCCACAAAGTGCCTATATGACTGGCCAAGTACACTGTACGCGACAAGTTATTTAAGGCTCTGTAATGCCGGTAACCGCTGATTCTCAGCGGTTACCAGTCATTAATGAATGTCTCAGTATTGAGGCATTCATTAATTAAATAGTTAAACTTTTGTAAAAGCTTCTTTCTTTCATTAATGAAAGAATGAAGCCGTTACATACAAATACAGGAGCGCTAAATAGCGATCTGGTATTTGACAGCTGAAGATAGTAGAGAGGTAGCAGAGTGAGTCACCTCTCTGCTATTCGTTTTGACAGCTCGATAGACTGGCCCGACGTTTGATACATTTCAGGCAAGGAATATTACAATGTGTCTCTGTGCCTGAAATGTATCACTTCTGATCGTCTGAGCAGGATCAAAGACCTTTAGCTCCTGTACTTGTTTGGGCATAGGGCGTTTTTCAGCGCGTTTCCATGGGCTGAAATACGCCCAGGTGGGAACCATGCCCATAGGGAAGTATGGGATTTTACTGTTCAGCGCTGTAAAACGCACAGGTGTGAACCCAGCCTTAGTGAGATCTGATTCTGACATGCTGTCAGGATCAGTCTCTAAGGTTATTATTAGCTGTTCCTAAGTTTGAATCAGCCTAATAATAACCAAAAATTAAAAAAGTTAATTTTTCAAGCAGTCATAGTGACTGCTTGATATAAACTGACAAAAAAAACCAAAGTTGTATTTGTTTTACACTTTTTTTTTTTTACAAAAGTAGAAAAATTCAATAAAATGTAAAACAAGTTAGGGAAATAAAAATGATATCTAATAGGTTTTTTATACTATAATTATTATGAAAAAATTCTGAAAAAAATAATAATCAAAACTTTTGAAAAAAGGTGTTTTCTTTACGGTTTTTCCTCATTTTTAAAAATATTTTATTCGAACTAAGTGAGGCGTTAGGTACACATTTGATATAATTATATAGCCCTATCTGTCCTCTAAAAAACAATATATAATATGTGTGGGTACATTTAGTAAGAAAGTTTATTACTGCCGTAGAAGAATCACACAGCAAAAATTTAAAAAGCGTGTCAGTCATTTATGAACAGAAACTGAAAACTAGCTCAGTCATGAAGGGGTTAAGCAATTACGCCTAAAGCAGCTCACTAACTGGAACGAGATCCTTGTTTGGCAGAGAAGAAATTAGGGGAGAGCTTACTTTGGGAAGGTAAAGATGGGCTGTGAAACAGTTATCAAAGCCTGCAATACTGCTGATTGCCACTGGAAGGAGACTTTGTTGCACTCTGAGGGTTGTGGAGCACTATAGTGATTTCCACATGCTTCTGAGATTCCCCAAGCTATCCTGTGAGCTGGAATTCTGGTGCACTTTCATCTTTATGAGGCCAAGATTAAATCATTATGCATCTGTATGAAGCTCATAATGCATGCTATAACATGGAATACATTTCATCTCATTGTAACAAATATCTTGGATTTTATTAGAGGAGAAATATATTCCCTCTAATCTTTGGAAAATTACAAACAATTGTAGAGTTGGAGCCTCTTATTCCCTGTTACTCTAGCAGTCAC